TTAACAAACTTTCTATGAGCCATCATATCGTTTTTTTCTTTATCATTAAGTCGATGCTCTGTTATATGTTGCTTTTCTTTAATGTCTAAAAGATTTTTTACTATGCTTGGTACATCGTTCTGGCAAATACCATATCCTATTTTTGCTGCTTTAGTCAATAAGTCTTTTATTTTTTCTTCGTCCTCTTTGTCTAAAGCAGGTTTGCGACCTTTAAGTAAAAAAAATAAGTTGACTTCTTAAAAAATCTTATGTAATTTTATTGCTTATGGAGAATTACATCTAGTATAGTAAGTAAATAAATATTTTAAACAACACAAACCTATCTTCTGCTTGGCAGCACCCTATCTGCTATTTATTCTATCATCGATTGTCTGAGAAGGTACATTATATTTTAAACTTGCCTTTCTCCATGAAAAATGATTGTCTCGAACATCAGCAACAGCGGCCTAACAGCTTCCTCATTATATTTTTGGTACTTGTCTTTTTTTAAATTCCATAGTCACGATAACAAACTTAGTTAAAAAATTATAACTTGTATACTCTACTATGATGATACTGTATTTTTAAAAAGTTGAAATTTGAATTCAAATATTGCTTACTTAAAAGAAATCTAGCCAATTAAAGCTGTTGCTTTAATTTTTTTGTTTAGTCTTAAAAACGTCACTAGCAACCTTAAGAATGCTTTTAAATATAGTTAAAACCATAAAAGTATTAAAAATCATTGTTAGGTAAAAATAAAATAATGCACGAAATTTAATACTGTGTAAATTAAATTTCTGGCATAATGCACGAAATATGATGCTCTCGATAATTCGTGCAGAAATTTTTTACATCAAAAAAGTATTTGTTTATTATTATTATTATTATTGTTTTTTACATTTACAATTAGTACATCTTTCAAAGGAATGTCGTGCTTCATTTTTGTAAAGTTAAGTGTAAAAAGATTTACGTTTTTTCACTTTACGTGAAACACCGATGTATCGTAACTTATTATAGCTTTTTTATTATAAATATTTGGACTACCGACATGGAGTTAACAGTAACTTGATGCGGAAAGGTTGTACTAACTGAAACATGAAACAACACTTTGATTAAATTAGCGTCAGTGGTTTTTTTTTATGTTTGCACGAAATTCGATGCTGCACGAAATTTGCCAACTTACCCTATTAATAGTTTTTGAGTTTATGAGAAATGTTTCTTAGCTTTTCTAATTACATACAGTTTTTCAATGTGGATATTTTGTCGATTTATGAAAATTTACGAAAATATGAAAGAGGCGAGAGAAGATAAGAAAAGGAGACATTTTAGACAGATTAGAAAAATGTTGTATCAAACAATGTTTGTTAGAGAAGATTAAAGTGATTTAGGTATCTGCATGTAGAAAGGTAGCAGCTTCAGAAAAAAATGTTATTGCTGAAGTTATAATGTTATAAGTGCTGAAGTTATGAATGTTATAAGCTTCAGAAAAAAATGTTATTGCTGAAGTAAGAAAACTTGAAGAGAGTGCCTTACATATTGTATATATAAGCTTTAGTTAAGGAAAAAAAATGCTCTAGATTGTTTATATTAGAAAAACAGCATAAAAGAGTAAGGCTAAAGCCTGATGTTGAAGATGATGATGATAATGATGATGGTAATGGTAATTATGATGATCATGTTGATCATAATGATGTTTATATTTGCATATATATATACAAAATATAACATGAATTTTGAATTGAAAAAATATATTTTAGGATATAAATATTTATGCAATCCTGGTCACAAACCCAGCCCTGGTAAAATTTCAACTCTGGTCGCTTACTATCTTATACATATATGTATGCTACACATTTTTTTTTTAAATATTTTAAAGTTTAACATCCAGGATTTCACATATGTGTAGTTTACAGGGTTCTCAATATGATGTCATGAAAGAGTTTTTTTACAACTGCAATTTTCATTGTGATACCACAATACTTGAAGGGCACCAATCAAGGTTTACAAGCTCCTACTCTTATCAACCATTAAATCGAGTATTTATATCAAAGTTTTCCTTATCCTAGGTAAGTTGCCAATGCTATGATACTTGCACCTAGCCCAAACATGCTTCATACATAGTATGTATATTATCCACGAGACTTGCTAATACATAAAAATTATAAATCTTGACATCCATTTAGGCTCAGACTGACCTTCCTCAGTTTATACTGAAAAGTTTCCCCTATAAAAAGTGAGGCTACTTAAAAACAAGGCTAACACTTGTAAAGCAAAACTAATTTTGGAAGCCCCTTTAGCCCATGGCATTAACAAGATAGGCTTGTTAACAATTACCCCTGGTAATTGTTAACAAGCCCATCTTGATAGCGCATGCCCTGCATCTACTATTTGTTTTTAAGTAGAAGTGTATATTGTATATGTGGCTGCATTACTCTATAATTTGTGAAATAAAGAGTTTTTTTTTTCTTTTTGTTGGTATCTATTTGATTAAACATTTATTTACATTTAAATATATTTTATATATTTTTAATATATATAGTTTATAGTAATAATATTCCCTAATTTATATAATTTAATAAAATAAATTTTAAATAATTGATTTAAAAATAACCAGTGTTGCATTAAAATTAGCACAAGTTTGCGATTTAAAAAATATTGATAACATCTATGCAATAATTAGTTAGTTAATAGTCCAATCAGTAATAAGATTCTAATAAACAATAGTAAATATTTGTTTAGTCATTAAGAATGCAAAATTTATGATCATATTGAATATGGAGTCCTAGGTAAAACAAATACATGCATATATATATATATATATATATATATATATATATATATATATATATATATATATATATATACATATATATATATATATATATACATATATACATATATATATATATATATATATATATATATATATATATATATATATATATATATATATATATATATATACATATATACATATATATATATATATATACATATATATATATATATATATATATATATATATATATATATATATATATATATATATATATATACATATACATATACATATATATATATATATATATACATATATATATATATATATATATATATATATATATATATATATATATATATATATATATATATATATATATATATATATATACATATATATATATATATATGTGGGCAATTCCATTTTTAACTTATGTTACACGCGCAACAACTTAATGAAATATTCGCCTATTTAAACTGTAAATTAAACTTTTAGATATTTTGTATGAAAGTTGTTAGTCTAAAGTATAAAATGAGCTAAAAAGTTTTGAGTTTGGCCAAAAGAGGGCAAATTTATTACTGAAAACTCCACTTAACTTACGTTACACTGGAGACAAAGTGAAAAAATTGCTTCAACTTTTAAGTCAGATTTCTGCGAATCAGTAAAGCGGTTTATATTAGAAACATTCACAAGATGTTGAGAACTCTATACTAATTTAAGAAATATATTTTAAAATTTATAAGAGGTGACCGGCTAAGGAAAATAAACGTTTTTTTGATACTATGTATTAAACTTACATAACAAAAAAATTGTGAAAGTGTTGAACTCATTCATTAAAAATAATTAATAAAGGAAATTTTAAAAACTGGTGGCACTCTTCCTAAGTGATTTTATATAACATTTATTAAAGTTTTCAAATCGAAAATAGTTTTTTTGCAAGACCAAGAGCAGCTTTAAAGAATTACTTTAGTACATTTATTTTTTACTTTATTTATTTGTTAGAAATTACTTTACACATTTATTTGTACTAAGTTATTTAAATAAGAAAATCTTTGGTTTGTCGAAGTTTTTGCTTACACTTCTTTCATTTTTATGCCTTATTTTCACATATAGGAGGGTATATTATCACAGTTTAGGAGGAAGAGGGGTATATGTGATCGTATATGTTCAGGTATATGTGATCGTTTGTAACAGGAGGGAAGGGGTTGAGAATTGACAAATATAGGGTGATGTACTTTATGAATGCACCTCCTTAATTGCTTTTACTAATGATTTGTTTTTTTAAAATTAAAACAAAAATAACTGATTTTTTTATATTAGAAGAATAGCAAATTATTCTTTTCTTTTCTTTTTTTAATGTCTAAATATTGATATAATTCTTATTTTTATTTATTTACGTGTCAACTAAAATACATAAACAAAAAAAAAATAATACAAATAATTTTAATTTACATTAAAAAAAAAAATTTATTCTTAATTCTCCTAATATAAAAAGTTTCACTTTGAACCTTGTCAACCCAACAAGACAAAATAAGAATTATATAATGATCTAATTCATTTTGTAAATAAAAACTTAACAAAAAAGCACCAGAACTTTAGTAAATGGATGTAGTTTTAACTTACATTGCACAATTTTGAAATAAAAATGTGCGTTACCTAAGCATCGTTATTCAAAACTTTAAATGTAAAAATGTAACATTTGATATTCTTTCGCATTTATTATTAAAAGACTTAAGTTTTTAAGCTAAATTTTAGAAAAAAACAAAACTTTATCATGTTTTTGTTAGCTTACATTACATGAAAATTGCAAATATTTTAAATAAACTTTTGTGTCTACACCAATATTCATTTGCTAAAAGTTGACAAAAGAGAATAAAATTTGACTAATTTTCATTTTCCACCTTGAAATTGCCCGGATATATATATATATATATATATATATATATATATATATATATATATATATATATATATATATGTATATGTATATATTTATATATATTATAAAAGAACATTGAGCACTCTATTTTGTAGAATATATTTAAAATTACTCATACATTTTTTTTCAAAAGGGATCAGCACTGATTTTTATTACATTTGTGATCATTATTTATCACCTGTTATGTGTATTGCACTAAATGGTGTCTTTTTACTTTAAAAGTATAAAATAATATTATTATAATAAGAATAAGTCCTATTTTTACAAAAAGTTGAATCTTACCCTCATAAATTTTTGTAGGAAAAAATGGAAGAACTTCAGTTGTTTCGTGGTGATACAGTCCTGCTTAAAGGCAAAAGAAAGAAAGAAACAGTATGTATTGTCTTATCTAATGAAGAAGCCGCAAGCAATGATAAAGTTGGAATGAATCGAGTTGTGCGACAAAACCTTAGAGTAAGACTTGGAGATATTGTAAGGTAATAAATGTATTTTATGTTAACCAGTAAAATGCAAAGAATCTTAAATATGTTTTTTTTATTAACACAACTATAAAGGAAAGCAACCATAACATATATATATATATATATATATATATATATATATATATATATATATATATATATATATATATATATATATATATATATATATATATATATATATATATATATATATATATATAAGGCTTGGTCGGGAAGTGGGTGCGATTGCACTCGATAACTGACCACGAAAATAATATTTAGTTGCGAAAAACTTTGTATTTAAGATAAATTTAGTAACCAGAGACTTCTTACATGTTTATTTCATAATTAGTTTTATTAACTTTGATGATTATTAATAACTTTGTTGAAAACACAATAGTTGTTGAAAGTCTATGTTTAAAAGTAAATCATTAAAATTGCTTTAAAAGATTACATTAGAATAAAAAACAGATACACAAAATTACATTTACATAAAAAATACATACTTTTTAAATAAAAAATAAGAATATTCTAATAAAATCTATAATTTATAAAAACTTTAACAAATCGTGAATAATACAATTTTTAAAACATTTCAACAGAACTTTATTTTGCTTAGTAGGCGTATTTTTTGAACCAATAGAATTAGTTTGTTTGTAGATTTGGCGATTTTTTGGTGTTTGTTTTTATTCTTCTGCACAAAGATGTTTTAAGAACATTTAAGTTTATGTATGTTTCTATGTATTTCCGTAAAATATTTTGTTACATACATTAGCTTAAATGTTCTCAAAATATTTTGAGAGAAAAAATATTTTGTTACATACATTAGCTTAAATGTTCTCAAAATGACTAAAAAACCTGGCCAGTTTTTCGCAACAAAATATTATTTCCATGGTCAGTATTCGAGAGCAATCGCTCCTGCTTCCCGACCAAGCCTGTATAGGGTTGCCACCAAATCAGGGAAGTTCAGGGAAATTTAAATAAGACCAGGGAAAATTAGGGGGAGATGATTGATGTAGGGAAAATCAGGAGCATTTTAATTTTTCTTTAATGTTTTGAAATATTTTTTAATAAAAATTTTTCTTTTCCAGGGTACCAGGGGTAATGTTTAATTTTTTTAAAGAAAATTAATCACATTGTGTCTACATTGGCTCTTTTTATTAAAATAGTTCAAATTTTTAAAATTTGAAATGGCAACGTACTTCAAAGAATGGTTAAGTGATCCTTTGTTTAACAAATGGCTGGTAATAGGCAGTGATAAAAAGTCAGCCAAGTGCAAAATATTCCAAGTTTAATTTAGTTTGTCAAATATGGGAAGAAGAGCTGTGATAAGTCACATGAATGGTAAAAAACATGCACAGAAGGTAAAGCCAGTATCTTGCTTCTTTATGCCTGCACTGTCTACATCTCAAAAGCAAGCAATTCTTACAGTAGATCAATGTGATAAAAGTTGTGCAGAAATCTATTCTGTTTTTAAATGCAGTACAGAATGATTTCTTGTTGAACTCATGTAATGAAAATGGCCTACTTTATCAGAAAATGTTCCCTGATAGCAATACTGCTAAATCTTATAAAATGGGTAGAACAAAACTTGATTATATAATAAATTTTGATCTTGTACCTTGTTTTCACAGACTTTTAACTGAAAATTTAAAAAAATCTCCTTATTATACTGTTTTATTTGATGAAAGCCTGAACAATTCTTTTCAAAGTTGTCAATTGGATCTAAATATTTGGTTTTGGAACAGCGATCTAAATCATGTTGAATCCAGATACTTTGACTTTAAATTTTTAGGTCACCCCACAGCAAAAAATTTACTTGAAAGTATGACTAAATCTTTGTCAAGATTAATAGCATAAATCTGACTTTAAGTATAGATAATCCAAATGTAAACTGCTTCCTTTTTAATCTTATTGAAAAGCAGTGTGATCAATAAGAGCTACTCAGCTTTCAAATCATGTTTTCAATCTGTTGAATGGAATATAGGGAAATTAATGAAAGCACCATACAACCTTTTTAATGATTCTCCGGCTAGAAGAGCTGATTATGTAACTGTTACTGAATGTGAGAGTTTCCCTTATACATTTTGCTCAACACGCTGGATTGAAGACCAAAATGTTGCAGATAGACTTTGTTTAATTTGGAAGAATGTTAAAAAAATAACCAAGTATTGGGAGACTCTTCCTAAAAGTAAGCAATCGAAATGCAAGAACTATGAGACAGAGTCAGAGGGGAACAAAAGATGAGTTAACTTTGACTAAATTGAAGTTTTTTGGTTACATTGCCAGTTGGTTGCAGAAAATCTTACTGAAATATTAAACCGATATCCCAATAATTCCATTTCTTTTTGAAGATTTGTTCTCAACTGTTAAAAGTTTAATGGGTTTAATTATAAAACAAGATATCTTTAGCACCATCCTCAATGGCAGTTAACTTCAAAAATTTGATTTCACTAAAAAGGAAAACTCTCTGCCATTAAAACTAATGACAATTAGATTTGCTGCTGAACGTGACATTATCGAATTGAGGAAAAAGGATGCGTTATCTCAGGATGTCATTAACTGATTCATAAAAGATAGTTGTCTCATTATCATTGGAATCCTGGAAAAAATATTCAAAAGATGTTTGAATCAATTTTCTTTTTTGGAAGCAACTGGTTGCATCAGTCCAGTGTCAATTCTTTCTAAACAAAAAGCTGATCTTCTTCATCAGATAAAATCTGTACATCTAATTATTTCTTGCTCATATATTACATCAAATGAATGTGATCAAGCTTTCATACAATTTTCAAAGTTGTTAGAGGAAAGTTCATCTACTCTTTTATCCGCATTTAAAAATTTTTACTGTGGAAAATTTTTAGACAAGTTTTATTTTGAAACCATTAAAGTTGGTGTAGATTACAAGGTTTTGTCAAAAGTTTTGATATATATTTTTACGTTATGTCATGGGCAAACATCAATTGAGAGAGGTTTCAGTATTAACAGTAATATGCTCAGTAAAAATATGAAAGAACAGTCATGTGTATCTTGTCACACTATCAAGGATTTTATGGTGTCAAACAAATTAAAGGCTCATGAAATAGAAATAAACAGTAAAATGATAAAGGCTGTTGGTTGTGCCTCGTTACAATATAAAAACTATTAGGAGGAAAATAGAAAACTCCAAGCAAAAGAAAATAGCATGATAGTGCTTTTAGATCAGGAGATGTTGGAACTTAAGGAAAAGCAAAAAGTATTAAACAAAGTGTGTAAAACATACAATGAGGAATTTATTACATTCATCAAGGAAGCTGGCAAACAGCAGGATATGTCTCAAATGAAACTTCTTCTTACAAAAGGCAATTATCGTAAGTAAAAAAGTGAGGAACACGAATAAGAAATTAAGACGCTTGAAGAGGCTTTAGTTATATTGTATAAAAAAAAAAAAAAAAAAGAAGTCAATAACAAATAATTGCATTTTTCTAACATAAAATTGTTTGACCTTTATTTTAAACATTTCAGTATTTAACAATATTACTTTTGTTACCAATGTTACTAGGAAAAAAAAAGAACAGAGTTATAGAGCAAGGAAACGGTTGACAGAAGACTTGAAAAGTTGAAGGTTGTATGAGTCAGGAAAACATGAAGATGGGAGAGAGTTCCAAAGGATTGAAGTGCGGGGAAAAAAACTAGATGAATAAAAGTTTTTAGAGCATGCAGGGACAGATACAGTAAACGAATGAGACTTAGCTAAATGACGAGTAAAACGAGAATAAATTTTAGTTGATGGAACTAGAGATGATAACTCCTTTGAGCAGTGACCATGATAGCATCTGTAGAAAAGAGAAAGAGGTGCAACTTTACGACGATGGGAAAGAGGTTCAAGCTTAGCAGATAGTCCAGGTCCAACAACATTTACAATGCGTTTTTGGACCTTGTCAAGAAGAGAAAGTGAATCGTTAGAAGAACCAGCCCAAATATGACAACAGTATTCCATACAGGGACGAATAAGAGATTTGTAGAGGTAGAGAATGGAATCAGAAGTAAGGAAATGGCGAGCACGATAAAGAGAAGCAACCTTAGCAGAAGCCAAATATAGCAATCGATTGTATATATGGTTTCCATGAAAGGTCAGTAGTAAGCGATAATCCAAGAAGAGGTAAAGAGGAGGGCTCAGTAAGAGGATTGCCATTCATTAATATAGGAATGTTGACCATATTACAGTAGTTGTTTGCAGTAAGCAATTGGGTTTTTTTAGAGTTCTTAATGTTTTCTTAATGAGAGTACAGCTCTAAAACTCAGTTTTATAGTTCTGAGGCCGGCTGGTAGTCAGGTTTCCTGAACTCTGTGGTAGCTCTCAGAGTCATCACCAAGTTCGCTAAACCTATCATTCACTAATATTCGTGGTCTTGGAAATAACTTTTCTTCTGTTGAGTCTTATCTCTTGCAAAGTTCATCAGACCTACTTGCTCTTTTGTGAGACTATTTTGAGTTCAGCTGTCTCATCTTGTGATCTTAGTGTTGATGGTTATCTTCCTTTGATTTGTAAAGACTCTAATAATCACATGCTTGGCCTGGGCATTTACTTTCGTAAGAATTTACCCATTTGTCAGGAAACTAGGTTTAAATCAACAGACTCCGCTTTTATGTGCTTTCGTTTAGCACCACTTCACTCTATCACCTTTCTCTTTGTTCTATATCGCTCTCCTTCATCTCAAGACTGCACTCTTCTTGATGTTATTTCTGATCATATCGACCAAGCCCTCTCTTTTTATCCATCAGCAAATATTGTTGTCACTGACTTTAATGTTCATCACACTGAATGGCTTGGCTCTAGTGTCAGTGACTCTGCAGGCCCACAACTTTTGCTTTTCTCAATCCCTAACTCAAATAGTCAACTTTCCAACTCGCTTTCCAGACAACCCGAATCATTTACCTTCTCTACTCGACTTATGCCTTGTTTCTGATTCTAGTCAGTGCTCAGTTTCTCCACATTCACCCTTAGGTGCCTCTGATCACAGTTTGATCTCTCCAAAAATATTATCTCATTCTTCTTGATCATCAGAATTCCCCTATCATCATATCTCTTACAACTACCTTGCAGCTGACTGAGGCTCTTTCCTTGATTTTCTTCGTGATGGTCCTTGGGTAGAAATCTTTCGTCTTCCTCTTGACAAATGTGCTTCTTAAATAACTTCGTGGATTCAGGCTGGCATGGAATCCTTTATTCCCTCTCAACAATTCCAGGTCAAGCCTCACTCTTCTTTATGGTTTTCCTCGCATTGTGCTGCTGCAATTGCCAATCGAAACCATTACTTCCATATCTAATAGCAAAACAAGTCTCCAGAAAACAGGCGTCTGTTTATTACTGCTAGGAACCATTGTAAAAAGGTTTTGTCTTACGCCAAAGTCCGCTATTCTCAGGTCATGAAAGAATTAAAACTTTTCCACGAAGCCATTGTTCTTGGTATTTCTAAAGCGTTTAATAAAGTTTGGCATGCTGGTCTTCTCCATAAGTTTTTTTCTCACAGTTTTTCTGGAAACACCTTTAAGATTATTAAATCCTTCTTTTCTAATTGTATTATAAAAGTTGTCCTTGATAGACAGCACTCTTCTTCTTATTCTGTAACCTCAAGGGTTCTTCAAGGTTCAATCCTTGGCCCTATATTCTTTTATACTTACATTAACTATTTTCCTGATATTCTCACATCTAAGGTGGTATTGTTTGCTGATGATACTACTATTTATTCTTGTCATGATAAGTAGCCAACTCTCTCTGATTGCTTGGAGGGGGCATTTAAGCTTGAAAAGGATCTCACTTCTGCTACAGCATGGGGCTCACAGTGGCTGGTGAACTTTAATTCAGATAAAACTCAATTTTGTATCTCTTTATCGAGCTCGACAATTTCTTACTCTGGATTCTATTTTCTATCTCTATAAATCTCAAATCCGGCTTTGTATGGAATACTGTTGCCATACCTGGGACAAATCTTCTAATGATGCTCTTTCTCTTTTAGACAAGGTGCAAAAATGTATTGTAAACATAGTTGGACCTGCTCTTGCAGCCAACCATAACCATTATCACATTGTCGTAATGTTGCTTCTCTTTCTCTTTTCTACAAATAGTATAATGGGCACTGCTCTAAAGAGCTAGCGTCTCTTGTGCCATCTACTAAAATTCATTTTCGTGTTACTCATCACTCAATTAAGTCTCATCCTTTTTCTGTGGCTGTTCCCAAGTGCTGCAAAAACATTATTTCTCTAGTTTTTTTTCCTCAAACATCAGTTCTATGGAATTCGCTTCCTTCATCTTGTTTTCCTGATTCATATAATATGCAATCTTTTAAGTTGTCTGTCAATCGTTATCTTGCTCTACAATCTTCATCTCTTCTCTTCCAGTAACTTCCAACACTCATTAATTGGTTGCCTGCAGCTTTGTTGTAAGCGAAGATGTTTAAAAATATATAAATGAGAGAAGTATAAAATGAATAACAATGACATTTGTGTTTTATACTCACAAAGTAAATTAAGTTGTATAAATAAGTCAGATCTTACCTAATAACTTCATTTAAAAAGATTTCAATACCAACACCTTCTGTCTGGTTTTTTAAAATTGAAATTACTTAATAGTCTTTTAATATCATTGTATGTTAAAAGACTATTGAGTAATTAACTACCATCAATGTTGATTCTGAACATCAGTTTATAATATTTGATACCATATCAAGTATATTTCAAGTTCATTGCGTGTAAGTTATCCTGCATTGCAAGTTGAAAATTACTAAAAAAACAAAGAAAATAAATTTTTCTCTATTACTAGAAATACAAAAAAACAAAAACTTTTTAATAAAAATTGTAAAAGTTGAATCTCCTGTCAAAATTACAATAAAATTTTCATGAGCTTATAACTAGATAAAAAATCTTTTTTTCAAATAATATTTATGTAATATTTTATTAAAATAGATTTTGTAAAAGTAAAATGATATTAGTTGTAAAGTTAATAGTACTGTAAAGTTTTTGTTTTAGTGTACAAGCTTGTCCTGATGTTAAATATGGAAAAAGAATTCATGTCCTGCCTTTAGATGATACAGTAGAAGGTTTAACTGGGTGAGTTATTTTAAGTATTATAATTCAATTTTTTAAATAATTATTTTAAGAGGAACAAAGTGTAATTTTTTTTCTAAGAAAGTTTTAAAAAATGACTTTTAATATGTAAATTATTATTTCTTTCTTTTTTTTCTGTATTAGCATCCCCAAGGGCAGGGGTGCCACTACTGTTAAGGAAGCTACATTTTTTTTATTAATATTATTATTACAACCCTTTCAAAACACAAGCCTTGACAAACAAGGAGGCTGCACAGAAAAATGTGTGTTGTATTACAAACGTGACTGAATTCTGAATTTTTCAATTACAAATTTAATTTTTACTGCTCTGCTTAACTGCTACACCATATTTATTACTAAACTGAAACAAATGCCTTTATACTAACAAAAAGTTATGAAAATGTAAATAACAAATTTTTTTGGTATAAATTATCCATAGTAAAAATAGTAAGCTTAAAAGCTATTCATAGTTCAGTAAAATTAGTTTGTTAAGCTTATAAAGATATAATTCTTACATATCTAAAATAATTTTTTTTTTTTTAATTACTTTTAAATAAAGTTATCAAAATGCTAATTTTCTTTAAAGGCGTCCCTTAAGCTGTGGAACCTAATAAAGTTTTTTTTTTTTAATAATGCTGGCTTAGCTCTAACTTCTTTTTCAAGTTGACTCTTTTTTAATATTATTATATTATATTTTTTATATTATTATATTAAGAAAAACTTATTGTTCTCAATGTTTGTTTTATAAATTTGTGCTAATTTAAAAAAAAAAATTCTTTATTACTAATTTTAGGAATTTGGTGAATTTCATTGTTTATTAACTTTGAAAAAAAATTGTTTCACTCAGTAAAATAATTTTAAAAAAATTTCACTTAAACAAGTTTCACTTAATAAAACAAGATAATAAAAAAAGTCTTTTAAAAGTGCAGTATAACTATAATTTTACTAGTTATAAGTTACAAGCAAACATTCCAAACAAATTTAAAATTGTCAAGTTTTGTAGTATTAAAGTTTTATATTTTTGCATAAATAAAATAATAACGAATAACACATAAAGTGTTCAGGAAATTTGTTTTATTCTGCGAACATTGTGTTAATTATAATTGTTAAATATTTTAGGAGTCTGTTTGAAGTATTTTTAAAACCATATTTCATGGAGGCTTATAGGCCTGTGTGTAAAGGAGATTTATTTCAAGTTCGTGGTGGAATGCGATCTGTTGATTTCAAAGTTGTTGAAACAGATCCTTCGCCATATTGTATTGTTGCACCTGATACAGTTATTCATTGTGAAGGGGAGCCAATTAAACGAGAAGATGAGGAGGAATCGCTAAATGAAGTTGGTTATGATGACATAGGTGGTTGTAGAAAACAAATGGCACTAATTAAAGAAATGGTAGAGCTTCCTTTGCGCCACCCACAATTGTTTAAAGCATTAGGTATCAAACCTCCAAGGGGAATCTTGTTATATGGACCTCCTGGTACAGGAAAGACTCTAATGGCTAGGTATTTGTAATTTTCTCAAGAAGTTTGAATTTTTATAAAATAATTTTTTTATATTTCAAACTAATTTTCACAGGGCTGTTGCCAATGAAACGGGAGCATTCTTCTTTCTTATAAATGGTTAGTAATCTTATTTTGATAAAATTCGATAGATAATTGTTACTTTTAGTTCTTCATTTCTTTGTTTATTTGTTTTTAATTCCAGTTGTTCATTTCATTTTAGTAAAATCTCTTTAAAAGAATTTTTTTTATAAAAACATTTTCTATTTAATAGTTTTAATTTTATAGGACCTGAGATCATGAGTAAACTTGCCGGTGAATCAGAAAGTAATCTAAGGAAAGGTAAGGAATTTTTACGTTCATAGATTTAGAGTTTTTTTATTTTTTATAAGTTGTAAAATCTTCAAATGGTGACAATAAGTAAAATAGGAAATTTAAACATTTGTGCACTATATTAGGTGGCAAAAGCTAAATTTTTTGATCTTTGTATAAGATAATTTACAGGCTTATAGCAAACTGGTATTAAATTTGGAAGAAAAAATTAAAAAATTTCCTTATTAGCAAGTTCTTAAAATTTAACATATTTTTAAATTATTATAATTGCTAAGAAAGGTTTTGTTAAAGAACATTATTTCTTTAAAGAAGATCTTGTAAAGTAATTAATAGGCTAGAAAAAGTTAAAACTTCAGCTTGTTTATATATAGATGGTTACTTAGCAAAAATTAGAATTATTAAAGAAGATTATTTAATATTATGCAATATTTTAATCACGCACATTATTAAAGGTTTAAGTTTGCATATTTTTACTGAGTTGGCCTTAACCCATCTAAAACAGTAGTATAACAGATCTAATTAGAAGAGAAAAAAAAAGTTTAATCAGAAACTCTGCAATATGCAGTAATACAAGTTTACAGATATTGTTTTATAAAATCAATAAAGCTCAATGTATTATAAACATTTTCAAATTGTCTTCCAGTGGTGTACACTGGATTTTTAGATGTTTGAGTTTTGACACTTAAACACATTTTGCAAACTGTAAACTTTTGTATGTTCATACTTATGTCAAATGAGAATGTTTTGCAAAAAATTGTGGTGATTAGCGCTTGGGGACAAAAAAAAACCAATTTTCGGGCCCACCCAGCCCTTAACGTGGGAGCAACAAGTTGATAAAATAATTTCTTTAGTATTTTTATCTAAGTTTATATTCATCAATGAATTTCAAATTTCATGCAATAAACCTCTTAGTTTTTAGTTTTTATGACCCTACAAAGTTTACAGCCCCCTCAAATTGAGGGGGTTAAAACTTTATATGGTCATAATTTTCAAAAAAATATGACCATATAAAGTTGTCTTCTAACATTTTGTATCTTAAAAAAATGCAACAAATATAAATTTATATCTAATTTATGTTCTTATTGAAAATAGCATTTGAAGAGGCAGAAAAAAATTCACCATCTATTATATTTATTGACGAAATTGATTCAATTGCACCAAAACGTGAGAAAACGCATGGAGAAGTTGAGCGGAGAATTGTTTCACAGCTTTTAACACTGATGGATGGTTTAAAACAAAGGTCTCATGTTATCATAATGGCAGCAACAAATCGTCCAAATAGTATTGATCCAGCTCTTAGACGATTTGGTATGAACAGTTTTATTAAATATTATATTGTTAACTTTTTATAATTTTTTTTTTTTTTTTTTTTTTTTTTTTTTTTGCTCTTAATTTCTAAAAATTCATTTTAATGAATATAAGCTTACTTTTTAAACGTAACCTTTTCTATCATTTAATGTATTTTTTTAGGTCGATTTGATCGAGAGGTTGATATTGGTATTCCTGATGCAAGCGGCAGACTAGAAATTCTTCGTATTCATACTAAAAATATGAAATTAGATGATGAAGTTGATTTAGAGCAAATTGCTGCAGAGACTCATGGCTACGTTGGATCTGATGTTGCATCACTATGTTCGGAAGCTGCGCTCCAACAAATTCGTGAAAAAATGGATCTTATTGATCTTGAAGAGGAAACCATTGATGCTGCTGTTCTTGATTCACTTGCTGTTTCAATGGATAACTTCAGGGTATGTTATAAAATTTATACTTCTAATAAAACTATTTTGATAAAATATTTTGGTTTATTATTGATTAGTAATTTTTTTTTAAGTTTGCAATGGGAGCAACTAACCCCTCAGCTTTAAGAGAAACTGTTGTTGAAGTACCTACTGTAACATGGAGTGATATAGGAGGACTTGAAAATGTAAAGCGAGAATTACAAGAACTTGTTCAATATCCAGTAGAGCATCCAGAAAAGTTTTTAAAGTTTGGTATGACGCCTTCAAAGGTAAAAAAATATGCAATTTTATAAATTTAATATTTTTTATATAATATTTTTGCCTTATTTACACTTTTGGTTTGCATTTTTTTAAAGGGTGTGTTGTTTTATGGCCCTCCGGGTTGTGGTAAAACTTTGCTGGCAAAAGCTATTGCTAACGAGTGTCAAGCTAACTTTATATCAATAAAAGGTCCTGAACTGTTGACTATGTGGTTTGGTGAATCTGAAGCCAACGTTAGAGATGTTTTTGATAAGGTATTTTAATATAAAAACTTGTAATTACATTATTTTATAATTTTTTATGTTACTTAAATTGATTTTTTTATTGGTCTCTTTGATTTGAAATTTTGATTGATCAATTACTTTTAAATGATTGATTACTTAAATATAGGCTAGAATGGCAGCTCCCTGTGTACTTTTTTTTGATGAGTTGGATTCAATTGCAAAATCTCGTGGTGGCAGTAGCGGTGATGGAGGTGGTGCTGCTGATCGAGTTATAAATCAAATTCTTACAGAAATGGATGGTATGGGAGCAAAAAAAAACGTTTTTATAATTGGAGCCACAAACAGGTACATTTAATAATTTAAATAGTTTTAAAAATTGAAATTGTTTTTTTATTTTTTCATTATTGCAAATTTTGTTCAAATCTTATTTAGACCAGATATCATTGACTCAGCTATACTTCGACCTGGTCGACTTGATCAACTTATCTATATTCCTCTTCCTGACGAGCTTGTTAGTACTTTTAAAAATGTTCTGTATAGTTTAATTTCTTCTCTTTATTATTTTGATTTTTTCATTTACTCCTTTAGTCTCGTGTTGCAATTTTAAAAGCTGCTCTGCGAAAAACGCCTATCGCTAAGGACGTAGACCTTGTATATTTAGCAAAAGTTACAGTTGGCTTCAGCGGTGCTGATCTCACAGAAATAGCTCAGCGAGTAAGTTTTTTTATGATTTTTAAAGTTTGATGAGATCTTGCTAGAAAATTGTTAAATTTTGTTTGATTTTAAAGGCCTGTAAATTAGCCATTCGTGAATCAATCGAAAAAGATATACAAAGGGAAAAACAGCGTGCTGATAACCCAGATATAAACATGGTGAACATTTTAATGATAATTATTTTAGCATTAACATTTTTAATTTCAAAAAATTTTAAGTTAAATCGATTTTGGTTCGGATCTAGGATGATGATGAAGATCCTGTTCCCGAAATTCGCCGTGATCACTTTGAAGAATCGATGAAATTTGCCAGACGATCTGTTAGTGATAACGAGATAAGAAAATATGAAATGTTCGCACAAACTCTTCATCAAAGTAGAGGTTTAGGAACGAACTTTAGGTAAAATTTATGTTTCAATTTACTGTTTTTCTTCATATTATAAATCTCAATTTTTGATCGTATAAAATATTGCTTTAGATTTCCGGGCAGTCAACAAGGTGCCACACCTACCTCTGGTGGCTCTACCGAACCAAATCGTTACGCTCAAGACGAAGAAGACGACTTATATAGCTAGACGAAATTGAGTGGTTACTTAGATGAATTCATTAGTTTACTTTATATTTCTATAATAGTTGTATTTATTAATCTTGTTCATAAATACTTTTTTCCATTTTCTCGTGCTAATTTTTATTTTTAATACATAAAAATGAATTAAAGACAAAAAAAATTTCGTTTGTCATTTTGATATATTTTTTTTTTTCTCTCTTCTTTTGATCGCAATGGTTTATCTTCAAACCGGAGATTCTAATGCTTATAAAGAGCTACAAGATAGTTGATGCTCTTGAAAACTTAAAATTTGATTAAACAAAATAGAATGATGAGTTGCAAAAACGTGTTGCTGAATTAAAAGATGAAAAGCAAACCCGCTGGGAAATTGGCTAGCGGATAGCTAGCTATAATCGTTACGATACAGACAGCGATTTGGCCACGAGGATCGCTAGCTTTTTTAAGTTATCGAAAAGCTATCGATATTTTTAAAGATAAAGACAGCGATTTGGCTATGAGGACAGCTAGCTTAATAAGCTGAAGATCCACTGGCTATTTTACCTAGCGTCATATCGTAATAAAATCGTTGTCTAAAAAATTTTGATATGTAGCTATCAACCAGCTATAGATTTGTAGATATTTTGTAGCTAACTACAAAGCTACGATATGTAGCTAGCGACACATTGCTACAAAATCGCAATGTTTAAAGTTCAATTATTTTCATAATTATAATAGACTCACCACTTTAAATCGAATTTTTAAAGATGTTAAAGACATTTGCAAAAAATAAAATAAGAAAAAAAAATCGCTCCAAAATCGCTATAGAGCTAGCTAGTCGCTAGCTCATTCATATTATTTTTTATCATCTTACTTTATTTTATATATTACCTGTTTTAAAAGCAAAAAATTTAAAATTTTGAAGATAACTTTTGTTAAACGAGTAATTAAAATATCAGGTCAAAATATAAATTTTCTAATAAATATGATTTTTGAAAAGTTAATATCTCAAACCCAGAGGGCACTGGACCAAAAAAAGACGTCTTTTGAACGATCAAAAGACGTCCAAAACGTGTATAGGACGTGTTTTCTACTTCCGTGCCCACTGGGAAAGTTCCACCGAATTCCACCCTAAAATGAATTTTTTATCGTTGTGAATGTTGTCAAAAAAAAAAGTTCAGCAGCCCAAAACTCCTCGAAATTGATTTATGGGCATAAGTATAAAAAAATTTACATTCGTGTAAGATATGCCCCTAAATTATTTCCCCTCCCCCTCCCTCCCCCCCCCCCCCCGCCTCCAAAAAAAAAAGAAGTAATTATGAAATTTAAATTCTGTCAATAAATTTGAATCTTATCTTAAAAATTCTGTTTAAAATACTGTTCCTCCTCCCAAAGGGTTGATTGATCTGTAATTTAGGTTTATCTTGTTCCTAAGATTCAATTACCGTAGTTTTATGTAGCAGATCCTCATAATTCCAACTTGTGCTCTGTAATTGAGGAAGAAGTAAAGATTAGAATAAATGTTCTTGACATAAAAGATTTAAAATTAAGACATTTGATGTCTAGTTAAAGATCATGACTAAATTAAGCCCAGGAATGACAGAATTTTCAAAAGTTGTTAAACAATCTGTCAAAAATCCAACTCTAGCCAGGAAAAGTAACAAAAATACAAAACATTTTTGAATAATGATGAAAGCAGAAGAGTTAATCAAGAATTATAAATATATCTAATACAGAATGTCGAGATGGAAACAACTAATTTTTTTTTTCTGAAACCTGGAATGAATGGGGTCTCATTACAAAGTGTATACAATCAAAAGTTTGCAGACAAAAGTCTTGCAACTGGAGTTAAAAGTGAACAAATTTTGTTCTAAACTGCAATTGTCTAATTAAAACTGGAAACTGGGGACACCACTATATAGTCAAATCCAAAGCCTTCAAGCCCTCTTTTTTGCAAGCTTCTTCACCTGCAATACCAAAAAGAAAAAAAGGAGTTAATAAGAGCTGAAGAGGGAGCAAATAGAAAGTATTCAAAATTTTGAACTTGAATTCGACTTCTCTAACCAGAAAGCAAAAAAAGAAATAAAAATTAAGATGACTATATTAAACGGCAAGGTAGTGAATGCTATAACAGATACAAACTCAACACAATCTTGCAATGTTTGTTTATTGCTTTCATGAACTCCAAGACATTTGCTGGTCCTAAATTTGATTCTGATGCACAGGATATCCTCAGAAGAGATAAACAGTATTTTTTCTAAATAAGTGTCATTTTTTAAAAATTTAGCTTTTAATTGTAAGATAGCCCCCTCAAATAAAAGACTGGGGGGCGGACACTGCATTTAGCCCCCCCCCCCCCCCATTTCCTAAACAGTTAAAAAAAAATTTTTATGATAGCAACAGCGGAATGACCATTTTCTAGTCTGCAATGACTCAATCACAATTAAACATCTCCATGAAAAAGTATACCCATAAAACTGTTTAAGATACTATCGCATAAAAACTATTTTTTAAATGAATGTGTGCTGGCAAAAGCTGACTAATCACGTTAAACCATAGTCAATAGAATATAACTATGGTCTGGAAGTCCATTGTTATTTCTTTTTGTTACGCTGCGCATGTTGAAATGAATAGTTTTTAAATCACGTGACCAAAGAGTGTGCAAAACATTTATATCATGGCGTCAAATAACGAGTTTTTAACACAGGAGTCTGCAGATTTATTGATAGATATTCAGGATGAAGGTCTTTTAGATGAAGAATTTATTATTGCAAATATTGTAGATGTTGGAGAGGTAAGCAAATTTATGCAAGAACTATATTTAATTAAAAAAATAAGCTATGTAAATATACATTACTATAGATTTCTTTTCTTATAGGAGTCAACACCAGGCAGTTTTAAGTGCGACGACTGTGGGAACATTTGTAAATCAAAAGGGGGACTTACTCGTCACCGAAACTGTAAACATTTACAACTAAAAGAGACCTTTGATACAAGTAGAAATACAATGAGTAGCATAATACTAAGTGATTTAGTTCTGGAGTCACAAAAAAATCTATCTGAGGATAACTGTTACAACTTAACTCGACGAGAATGTTTCAAGTGTTATAACTTCATATTAACAGAAGCACTTTACGCAGATGTAAAAAAGATTTATGACATTTTGATTAATACAAACAATGCAGAGAGTTATTATTCCAGCTTTTATAATAAAATAGTAATCAATGCAGATGTTTACTTTCCTGAATTAGGAAAACCCAATAGTACTCTTTTAGCAACACAACTGGCTGACAAGGTGCTTGCATACTTCAAAAGAATGCCCAACAAGGAAGCAAAACAAATAAAAAATATAACAAATGATGAAATTGGTGCCTTGCAATATCTGGCTGGGTATGTTGTCAGAAAGTTCATTAAGAAATCGAAAAATAGCCTGAATTATAAATCCAATGAAAATCAAAATATAATAAAAATATTAAATAACGCTATTAGCAAAAATTCTACAGATCAGGAATTGATTGAGGCACAAAATCGTGGTGGACTAACAGCTGTTAATAATGAATGCCAGCAAATATTTGTAAAAGCTGAAATTCAATTTCGAAATGAAACAAATATTAATCATTTGCAAGAAATTGATATTAACAGGATGACTATGGAACTACTGAAAGATACAGAAGTAGTGAGCTTTTATAACTCTATCTTAACAGGATGCGGAGTTGACATTGATAATGATGTTAGTAAAAACCTTTTAGAAAATATGGTCAAACTTTATTTTCGAGTGCGAGCATTTTCTTTGGCTAAAGACATTACCACCAAATATAAACTAAAATTGAAACAAAAAAATAATAAGGGTGGTCTTCGTAAAACTCTTAAAAAACAATCCAAAGAGTAACAAGCATGGTATATGCCACTTGTTATGTGTTTATTTATTAATAAAATTATGTATTTAAAAATATATCATCAATTATTTTCATATGTTCTCAGATTCTGTTGTTTTTTTTTTCTTGCTCTTACACCTTTTTCCTAATGGTTCATCAGAAGCGATTCTCCACGATACTTTACGCTTTTGTATATGAGCTCCTATGGTATTTCCAGTAACAGGTGCTACAGATCGTTGCATTCTGATAGCATTTGATTGGTATCCCAACTGAATGAGGGTAGGGTTATCATTTCGGCGACCAAGGCTGCGATGCCTCCCAAAGTATTCCTCCAGGACATCTTGGGTAAAACGTTCAGTCAATACGAAAGGTATTCCGCTAGTTAATAAAAACTTGGTAACTTCAATTAAAGAATTCACAGTTATATGGAGACCTTCGTATGTTTGTAATGAAATAAACATTTTTTCACGTTCACCCCGATGGAAATTCCCAGTTCTATTTTTAATATTTTCTTGCCAAGTTTCAAAGTATTTTAGAAAAGTGTTCTTGAGCCAATCAAAGCGAGCATCGTTAACATTGCGGTAGGGCAACAAAAATTCTTTTCTTTTCAGAATGCCTTCCTTTTGATTTCGAGTAATCGTACAATCAAAAAATTTATCCATTAATTCACATATCTGTGCTGTTACATGGGTTTCTGTGGGATACTTTAAACGTAAGGCATTTGAAACGCTTTTGCTAAGAATTTGAGCTGCTAATCGAACATTCATAACAGAAAAAGAATTTAATTGAACATGCTCTAAGGTCAATTTAGGCAGCAACTTTAAATCTCTGAAAATATCATCATTCACTAATTTCACGAAATAACTCCATATAACTTTTTGTTCATTCCATAAATTACGTGTATGATTTTCACTATCTCCAGAATGATGCAATGAATTTCTAAATGTTTTTATAAGATGTGGTGCATCAGAAAAAAAATATATGTAGCGGTCTGCAAATATATTTTTTGAACGGTACACAACAAATGATTCAATGTTATCCATCCCTTTGTGCATTTTGTAGAACAGTCGATTTGGAGAAGCACCATCAGACACAGCAGCAATTACTTTAAGAGCACACTCTAATTCCAACACAGACACTGCTTTCCAAAAAGTAGACATAATTTGACTTGCAGTAACACCTTTAGTAGCAAAATATGCCAAAGCAAACTTTAAATCGGAAGCAACACCTCTAATATAGTAAACTAAGCAGTGAGAAGC